AATTTTACTTTCCAGGTTCTTAATGAAAACAATGGCCAAAATTACACTCAAGACCAGTGACTGTCAAATATCTTCACATCAGAGTAGACACAGTACAAGACCATCTCTTGACACATTGGGCAGACATTTTACAATCCTTCGTACGTTATTAATTACAAATATAATGGAGTGTTACTCACAGTATTTCTTCTCATAGAACAATACGCCGTTTCTGAATGTGCTGATAACAGAACACCGGTAGAAACCACCAGGGTCTCTGGGCTTGGACTAGGCCTGTGTGCCATGGTGTGCCTGCCCATCACTCGTGCTTCAAAGTTCACCTCCTGCAAGGTGGTCTGAGAATATCTGATCTGGGATCCTTCCTCTACTTGATAATTCACCAATGCCCAGCTGGTTCAGGGCTCACAGGGGGCACTGAAGAGCGCAGATCTCAGGTCTTTGAGACCCTTCACCTCAGGACACAGATGATAACTTCTCAGTCACAGATGGTTGTACTGGATCCTGCTCAGAGCAACCAAACAGCTGAAAAGATCACTTCCCACGAGCCCAGGAGGCAGAAGAAAAGGTGTATCGAGAGTCTGAACCCTCGAACTGGAATATTTCTGTTTGCTTGCAAGTCAACTGCACTGCTTTCAATTAAAAATATTTTAAACTTTCTTCTATTCTATTTGTCAAAATAACTCTTAGTTTGCTGAGATATTGTCATTTTTAATGGTGAACAACATACAGCTACACATCCAGTCATGTCTGGATGAGAATGCATGCTAACAAGTAATATATATGTGCATATGTGTGTATTATTTATACAGTTATTGAACTCATATAAAATTATTACAGCCTATTTCTGTCTCCTCTGGATGAGCAAGTTCTCTGTATCTCATTTTATCCCAGGGGAAAAGGGATTTATTTCCCCAGACTTTCAACATTTCTCAACATCTTCCATCTCCACATTCCATCCATCACGCAGAGCTCATTCCTGAGATTAGTTTAGGGCTTCCATGATTCATAAGTATTCATCATAAAAGGGAGTTCAGATTCTTTAGTGATCTGTAACCCTGGCTGTGTACCAGTTTCTACAAACTCAGATCCCCATACTCTTGTGTATGTCCAGAGCATGTAACAGACCTAGTTGATCCCTGAGAAAACCAGGGACATAGAATTGGAGTTAGTTATCTGCTGCCTTTGTAATGAAAAAAAAAAGAAAAAAAAAAGTATGACATATTTTGACTGGATTTCTTCTATTCTAAGCCATCTTGTATCTCAAATTTCTTTTCTAAATGAAGTACAGTCTAATGAATACAACTACACTGCATATTATACAGCTGGGTCAGATAAATGTCTGTTGAGGTAGCTAAGCTCTTTTTGTCTCACCAGCTCAAAAAAATACTTCTCCTTTTCATTATAATCTTTCAAAATTTCTTTAAAAGCTTTGAGAAAATGTCTATACTAACTATGATTTAGTAATCCTTCCTTTAAAAAGGAGATGACTGTTTGTGATAATGTAAGAAATTATGTAAATAAGCAATACTACATCTACCATACCATAGCAGATTAACGATGCACCTTCTATCTCACTTCAGACAACTCTTACACACAGGGAAACAAAAAACTTCACACATAATCTTAGATTTTCATTGTATGCTGTATAACCCTGTAGTGTTCAATAAAGCCAGATCATCTTAAACTCTACTGGCAAAAGTAGACTACAGGAATAAGAAGTCATCAAGGCCATTAAGCACACAGATACAAGAAACTCAAGAAGTGTTTCACCACATGCCAGCCTGTGCTGGGCACAGGCTGAGCACAGGACCCTTGTGTGTTCTTGCACTCTTTTCCTACCACCTGATTATAACCTGGCTACAATCCTTACTTTTTATGTTCTTCTATGTAAATTCCAATAAAATAATGTACTTAGAAATTTCCTTATTTCTCCTTACTGAGGCATGTCGATTACTTTTAAGGAAGAGGGTAAAAAGAATACTGTGTCATGCAACACAGAACTGGTCTGGAAGACAACTTATGTTCAAACTTGCCTACAGTCTTTCTACAATTTATCAGCTGTTCAATACTTCTTGAGCATATGCAGCCTGCTGCCCTGCTGAAACCAGCACACAACAATAGCAGGAAGTCTTCAGAGAGCACTGGCTATCAAATTCTCAAGTCAGCTGCAGGAGCCCAGGCAGGAACTATAGCAGTCCCAGGATAGCTCAGGGAGGAGCAAACTCTCGGCCAGGTCACTGGTGCAGCTGCAGAGCAAGGGCTGCACTGCTTCCCAAGAGTCGCCTCACTCCCCTCCCTGCTTGGCCCCAGCACAGCCTGCCGGGACAGCACATCACACGTGGCAGCCAGCCCACTGGCTCACACATTTCTTCCCTACTCCCAACACTCAGCTCAGCTGCAGCCCCCTCCCTGCACCTTTAAATACGGAACAAAATAAAAGCTGTAGAACCTCACTCTTAGCCTATGGGAATTTGACAGGTAACAATGGTGGAGAGCAAGAATTTAAAGGAGGCCAAAGAGTCAAGCTCTGGACATGAGAAAGTGAAACAGAGGCAGTGGTGAAAAAGACAGACTTACCAGCTGCAGTGCTGTGGATAACATGAAAAGAAAAAAAAAAAGGATTAAGCTTACTTCTTTAACCTTCTCCCCCTAGTCATTCACTAGCATAGGAGAGCTACCAAAAACTAGTGTAAACCTTAGAGAGACTGCATGGAGACCTACAAAGAATTTGGAGCATTCAAAGTCTTTTTGCCTGAAGTCTAACTTCCACTTGGCAACTTAAGCCAGGGCTCCCTAATGATTCTGGTTTACACAAGTTCCTCTGTTTTCCACAGATCAATCAGGTACCATTTGAACGCGCTATGCACAGTATGTGCATTGGGAAGCACGGAGCATCCAGGTGGGCCTTCAGTGAACAAATAGGCTTGAACTAACACATGCTGGAACTCAAAAAATAACAGCACTTCTCCTGGATTAAACGCTTCTGAGTCCCGGCATTTTAATTAAGGCACCTCTGCATTCAGAGTAGTTATCACCAGCATTTATCTTGAGCCATAAGAGGCTGCATCCTTCTGGATCTGTCTTGTCAATAGCTTACCCAAACCTATTAATTTGTCACCATTTCCTCCCTTCTCAGTCCAGCAATCTTCTCTCTCTGCTGCTTTTATCCCCAAAGTAGAACAACATAAAAAAAAAAAAAAACACTTTATGGGTTTCAGAACAGCAGACTGAGAAAATAAAGATGAAGTATAAGCAAATTTATTTTTTCCTATAGAAGGTTCCAAAACCAAAGTAGGCAGATTGTCAGAATTATTTCCGCCTGACAAGCTGATGAACAAAGTGGATTCCTTAGAACATGCCTACTGACTGTTACCATGTATTTACACAGTAAATGATGTGCAGTGGAGGATCAACATAATTAAAGTGAGGTATTGCTACTCCTTCCTTTATTTTTATTCTACTTAGCATAAAGGCAACCCCTGCAGCCACGAAGAGCCAACACAGTACCCCCTGGAATCCAGTTCTCCCATTCCTTTTACCGCTGACTGAGTCATTTTGCAGCATAACATTCCCTTTGTAAAGCACTGGTTCCCAAACCACGGTCCTCAGAAAGCTGGCTGGCTACATGCTACTGGCACCGGTCCTCACTTCCAACTGCTGCATGGCTTTAAAGACAACCAGGATGCATTATACGCTTTCCCAGTACTAATTTCCCAATGTTAGATGTTACGTTAGTTGCTGCAGGGCAACTGTGTCCTTGTAAACAAGTGAGTAGGTGTTTCAAAACAACTCTGGGGTTGTCCAGATATGGGGGGCAGAGGAAAAACCATGGGAAGCCTTGCTCTAGATATTGTGTCTGTCCTCCATGCAAATCTCACTTATCCAGCAAGTCTGGAACTAGAGCGAGACTAGAGGGAATTATCTCCAGCTCTACCATATGGAGATGAAGACACCAGGCCAATTGCTTGTTTTATTTAAACATGTGTTTCTTTTACCAGCACTATTAACATTGCTTTGTTCCTGTTTATATTTAAAGAAATGAGAAAATAAACTAAGTAACTTTTTTCCTCTCATTCCATTTTTGTTCTTTTAAGACTTCCCTGTTCCTGTCAGAGTGAGTTAAGCTAAACAGAAACAAGGCATTCTTGTTCCAGAGTAAATGTGTCCACATTTGGAGTTCTTTGGGAACTATTCCTACAGCTCAAATTCCTGTTGCCGTCGGCCCCTCTCCTTAAATCTTAGTAACTTTCTCATGTAAAAAGCCCTGAGGTTGGATTGTTTGCTTAATAGAACGTGGTAACACACAAACTACCAAAGACAGCAAGTTACACAATACCCACCCACTGCTCTTACCACTGCCCCTATTTCAGGGGCTTCAGAGAGAAGTTTCCAAATGTTTGCAAAGTGGTGGCAGCATTATGATAAGAGGGATTCCATAGCCTTGAGGATCCTAAGAGTTCTGAGCCCTTGCGTTCATCCACACGTGAGGCATTGTGGAACCATCCCATAAATTCAATGCAACCCCCAGAGGGAACTTACGTTAAGGTGAGGCTCAGTGTGACCAACAAGCCAATGTGCAGCTGCAGTCTGTGTGAGGACACCCAACACCTTCACTTCCCTAGCACGCAGCCCTCCTCAAAGTCACGTCAAAATCAAACAGCAAGTCCTTAGCTGATCATTTTGCAGTACCAGCAACATTACTTGACAACTAGCACACATGTTAGTAATGCAGTAAATGCACACGTATCACAACACTCTGCTAGGGCAGCTCACAGTGCTGAATTCTTACTGGCTCTCAGAGCGCAAGTTTTATCTCGCTACTTCAAACATATAAGAAAGTCCATTTCACTCAAGGTTTTTAAGCGAATCAGAAAGGCACCCTTCTGCCTACAGGGTAAGGCAGAGGCATACCTGACTGGGTTCCACCCAAGAAACCCAGGTTCTTTTCAAGAGGAACGGCGTGTAAGCCTGTGAGTTGAAGGACGAAGCGGTAAACTTACTTTCCAGTGATAAACTGGCTTCTGGATGGTGTGCACATAGGCTGAACATAATAGTTCTCCAGTTTAACCCCTTCAGCAGCTAGCTTGTCCAGAGTGGGCGTCCTGATCTCCGAGCCGTGGTACCCTACATCTCTGAAGCCCTGATCATCAGCCAGGATGAAGACGATGTGCGGCTGCGAGCTGGGGGTGCCGACCCCCGGCTCTTCTCCCAGCGCTGCCGGCGCCTCTCCGGGGCCGCGTCCGAGGCTGTCCCAGGACAGGTAGCCGTAGGTGAGGAGGCTGAGCACCGAGAGGCCGGCCAGCACCCCCACCGCCAGCATTTTCCCCTTGCGGAGCCGCTGAGGCCAGCTACACCCACCGCGGGCCATTCACCTTGGCTGGAGCGAGAGCGAGACGGAGGAGAAAAATAATAACAAAAAGAAAAACACGCACGCACAAAAAAAAAAGCCACCCGAGACCAAACCCAGCAGCCTGCGAGGCAGGGGCAGCAGCCATCAGGGGCCCCGCCGGGCGGGGGAGCGGAGAGGAGCCGCGCTCATCGCGGCCACCACCAACTTCGACAACTCCAACCGCTGCCGCGGGAAAGGCGGCTCGGGCCGCCCTGCCCGGCGCCGGTGCCGGAGCCGGTGCCGGCCGGGTGGGCAGGGCCGCGCCGGGGGTCACAGCACCCTCGGCCCGCCTCCGGCCCCGCGCCGGGGCGCCGCTGCCGGCCCGTCCCGGGGCCGGTGCCCATGGCGGGACGAGTCGGGGCGCCCCGGCGCAGCGCCGCCGCCAGCGGGCCGGGCCCCGCCGCCCCTCCGCGCACAGCCGGCCGCGAGGCGCCCTCCGCCCGCCCCCTCCGGCGCTGCCGGGCCGCTCCCTCCCTGCCTCCCTCCCCTGCCCGCCTCTCCCCTCCTCGCCGCACGGCTCCGCCGCGGGCAGGGGGACCCCGGCCCCGAGCCCCCGCCCCCCGGTCCCTCCCGAGCTCCCCGCGGCAACTTGTAGCTCCCTCCTTTCCCGCCCCTCCGGCCTCTCTCCGCACCTCACCTCCCGTCCGTGCCCCCCGCCCCAAGGGCCCCGGGGTGCCGGGCAGCCCCCAGCCGGCCCCAGCCGAGCGGTGCGAAGCCCCCGCGGCAGCTCAGCGCGGCTCCCGCTGCTGCCATCGCCCCCAGCCTGGCTGCGAAGGGCAGCCCGGGCCGCCGGCGGGTCCCGCTTCTCCCTCCCAGAGCTATCGATAGTTGTTAGCGTTTTTGAAATCACCGCAAACGTCTGGAATGTATGAGTGTACCGGATTTGTTTTCAGCCGCAAAGCAGACCCCAATCCCAAACCCTCCAATTCTGGTAAGACTGTGGCGAATGCGAGGAATGCTCCTTTTCAAAGTACTATCATTTCTTAAACTGAGTTGAAGCATGAATGTGCTGCACTTGCAAAATACAACTTCCCCCTAGTCCTGAAAGACACTGAAACAAGCAGAAACTTACATTCATGCATGATTACGCTAAACTGAAGTGAATATGCAGGTCTGACCTGCCTAACATGAGTCATCCCGACAGGAACAGCTTTTTCAAACTAATTTTTCTAACGCGTTAACTCTTAACCAGCCACCTAGTCTAAGGCACGTGGCTGCTGTGCCCCAGAAGCCCAGTCCCACTAACCCCATGCTGGCTGGTTTTCCTCTCTGATCAACGTTTCCATCTCATTTTTACAAGCTGACTGTAGCACTGAAGGCTTGGTTTGCCCCTGCTACTCTGCTCCTCACAGCCCTGAGCACTGTTGCCTCATATCCTCTGCAAAGCACAGGAATATTTTTGGACGTTGGAATATTTGGCACTGCATGATACAAATCAGCTGGAATGGCTTCTCAAATGAAAAGTATCTAATATCAGCTTTACCACATCATAAGAGGCAGCACAAGAATAGATTTAATGGTTCCTCTATTAGATGTTGAATGTTGGTGTGTGTTCTTCACTTACCTTTAACAACACTGTTCAACACAAGTGTCTAGATTTTGCTTGCCTGGATGTCTACGCAAATGTAATTCAGTTCATAACAGCTCTTGGTGTTCTTGTTCTAGAGAGAAAAAATAAAATTACGCTATCATTGCAGAACCTTAATTTTTGTCGATTCAAATTGATTTTGTGCAATCTAACATGAACAGAAATGTCACCACTAAAATTTTCACCGAAAAATGTTTTCTTTGTACCTGACAGCAGTGCATCAGGGAGAACATGGAAACAAAAGTGGATTTGGTGATGTCAATATTCTACCTAAGGGCTTGTCAACACTGGAAAGTGGTATCGATAATATCTGCATTGCAGTACCTACCAAGTTTAACTCCCAAGGTAGAATGCCTTCTGTTGAATTCAGAGGAACTTTACAGCACGTTAACTCAAGCTCTTGTCAAAACCAAACCAAACCAAAACTCTTCCAAATCTTAAACAGAAGAAATTCTGAAACCTTCACGTACTGAAATGACATTCCCTTTAAAAGAATTCTCTACCTAGATTTTTTTTTACTCCTTTTTCCCCACATATAAGACACCAAAACTGGATTTGTAATGCAACTTTGCCTCAACACATCTACTGCTGAGTGGCAAACAAAATACAATATCCTCTTAATGAAAGCACCATGGATGCAAGTAGACATTAGAGCATCACACTAAGCATCTGATAAAAAGGATTCGCATTTTCTAGTAACTAAAGATATTTTGTATTAATTTTTATTTTTCATCGTCTTAAAAGAAAAATACTAACATCAAGTATCACTGAACACTTATTAAGAAAACATGATAATTCATATATTATGTATCCATAAAAAATTATCTGTAATTATGCAAATATGATTTTGCTCAGATAATCAAAACATTTTCAACACATCCAAAGAACTAAGAGTGGCAGGCACTTAGCTAAAGGGGACCACACCTGAGCAGGTGACTGTCAGCAAGCAGAACTAGAGAACCAAACAGAAGAGTGTAGAATTCAGATTCTTGCAGTCTGAGAAAAAAAAAATGTATCATTACACAGATGGATCAGAGTTTATCTCCCCAGAGACCATGGATATGAGCAGACAGGAGAGCTCAGCTTTTGATTTTCCAGCCTTGCCTTATAAAATGCTTGTTAGCCATACCAAACCCTGTTAGTCATTGCCTAAGTGCAGATGAAGATATTTGAGGACAACCTCATCAGACATCCCTGAGCTTGGTCTTCTTTCTTTATGAGACTGACAAAACTTCCCTCTTTTTTTCCTTTCCCTTTTGTTAAAACAAAAGTAGGCTTCTGCCAGTAAAATATCTGCTGACCTTGAAGTAAAGAGGCCTTGGAAAATAACATGCTACCCATAATGTTGCACTTCAAAAAATATCGGTACCACTCAGGAGCTGCAAGCACAGCTTATGCAGCCCAGTCAGTATGCTCAGTGAAAAGCAGAGCTGTGAAAGCTGGAGAAGTGTTCTTCCCTTAGGGAAAAAATACAGAACCTTCACAGATATTTAAACTTGAGTGTAGTGAATACATTAATCCAAATATACAGTAGTTAAAATCAAATTTGTTATACCATTAGGAAATGATATATTTTTAGCACTTGTTATGCAGTCTCTGTGAGTACTGAGACCATAAAATTAAGTCAATTAAGGACGCACTGGGAGGATGACTTTAGTTGAAAGCTTGTCTGCAGTTATCTTCAGTCAAGGTAGGGGCTGTTGCTAGATATGCCCTTTTCCCCTCGTTTTAGATCAGGCTGCCATCTAACCTTTTGGAGACAGACATTTGACACACAAGTATAAGCCCAAGAAGATAGCAGCTTTATAAAGTTAAGTGCAGCTGAAAAATTGAAGGAGACCGTTCCTTCAAAGTCAATCACGACACAGAGCAGAGTTAGCACAGCAAAGAACTAATCTGGCTGAGGGCTGTGCAGCAGGGCCTGGGAGGCTGTGACCCAGGGACGACTGTGAGCCATGGCTCCTCTCTTCTCCCTCTGTGAGAAATTAACAAACAAAAATCTATATTCAAATGAGATACATTATAAAGAGCTACAAAGATGGGGAAGGGAATGAAGGGTAAAACGCATGAGGAGCGCTGAGGCCGGAGCAGAGGAGCTGAGGGGAGGCCTCTGGTGGCTCACAGGCAGCAGAGGGGCAGCGCTGAGCTCTTTGTGAAAATAGACTTTTCACTTTGTGAAAAGTGACTGTAATGTTATCTTATGATAACACTATAACTGCATTTTCAACACATTGGTATTAGAAGGGTAAGTCTTACTAGCTGGAGACTGTGTGTTTCTTCCTCCAGTCAGAGCTGTCAGTAACAAGGTTGCAGTTCAAGATGTGCATTCCACTGCTCTTCCTGGTTATGCCTGAGGCCAGAAAACTTTGTGTTTAAAGAACAGCTTTCTGAGCTGTTATTTTTAGCTTGCTAACTACAAACGTAGTAAGAGCAAAGCAGACTTTGGCCTATACGCACAGCCAATATTCTTTTTATTTGCCAGAGCAGGAAATGTAACTAAGCATTTCCTTTAACCCGTTATTGCTTGATATACATATATATTTTCATGCAACTGTCCTCAGCATACCTGCCTAAGAATAAAGGAGAAAAGCAGGACTTCAGTGCTCACTGCCGCGCTGAGCCAGATGCTCATCGCTAGAAACAGCGTATTATAAACACGAATAAAAACTTGGTGAGTCATGGGACTTAGATCATCCCCTTTGCCTTCATTGGTGGAATCTGGTAATTAATTCACAGATGTGCTACTTGAGAATTATCAGATTCCACCCATGGCTTACTCCCTGGTTTGTGATGACATAACCAGAACTTTGCTGTTAACTTATTCTATATTTAACACAGATTTTCCCCGATTCCCTCCTGTATTTCATAGGCAAAGGTCCAGGTTCTGATCTCAGCTGCCTGCAGTGATGTAAATGACTCAACTGATCCCATTAAAGTCACTCTGAAAATTTAGGACTTGACCTTAGATATACCTCTCCCTGTAACGACTGAAACAACAGAACTTCAGAGCCGGTAGTTGCCTTCCTGGAGCACCCTCCTGTTTCCCTGATACGTAGGGCTCGCTACCCCAAATGAAAAAGAACCAAACTCTAAGTTTGTACAGTTTCACTGAAACAACTGTTTCTGGAAACCACAAGCGGATGATATGTCGCCTAGTGTATTTCCTTAGGAAAAGGGGATATTTTAGTAGTAGCCAGGAAAAATCCCTGCTGAAAAGCATCATGCAGTTATTAAAGACATTAGAGAGGACACAATTCTTCTTGGTTGCAAGTGGGTATGCATCATGGCACAGTAGTTATGTTGACTTACTAATTATGAAGCCCAGTCTGCAAAAGAGTGGCATTTATTGCATTTATTTAGTGTACAGTGTATTTAACTGTCCTTTTGCAGCAAGAGCTTCTCAGTTGCAAAAGCAAAATGGAATTTTGCTACACCAAGGATGAGGAGAAAATATTTTGCACAGGCAGTGGAACAGTTAGATCACAGTTGTTTTTTTTTTTTTTAATATACAAGGTCGCCTGTTATGTTTAAAGTTTGTCTTAATATCTGAGCAATTAAAAAGGCCTGGATGAGAAATAGCACAAGGCAAAGTAAATATGGAAATTTTAAATATGACGGGTCTTTTCAGAATAACTACAGTTTTA